ATGAAGTATTTAATTAATTCCTTGCACAATAAGGAAGCTATAATAAATTAGAAACGGATGTCGATTTATTGAAGGCAATGTCGTGGCCGGGAGTCCGCAGCTTCTTGAGTAGTGGAGTAAACTAATAATCTTTTTTTCATTTTTATGCAAATTTCTGAGAATCAAATTGAGTAGAAAATAATAATTGTAAAATAATTTAGATATTATGACTATGAGTGAAGCGTTAGATAGTTTTGTCTATTTGTTAAATCGATATAAGTTTCATTATAAATGTAATGTGAATCCGTATTTAAATCTCGCTTATTTTATTGAAAATAAACATATTGTAAACAAATGAAAATAATTCTTAAAGTTAATATAGAGGGGAAACATCAGAGCCATGTAAATCAAACATCAGACTGTTAAATTGAGTGAAAAGCAAATTCTAATTTTATTCGTCTGTTCCCCACAAGTTCACACTGCGAGTCAAACATCTACTATTCTAGACACAGGTTAAATTCAATTTTATTTCGTCACTTTCTCTGCGTCTGACTGCAGTATTCATAGTGTAGACAATGTGTAAAGTTGTAAAAGATTAAAAAAAATCTTAATTGTTATCGTGTACCATAAACATAGAGATAGAAGTAATTGCAGCTAATACTGGCCCAGTTTCTTTAAGGAAAACGCTGTAATGGTCTTTAATTCTTTTCGCAGCGCCTCGTCTAAGAATTGGAGTGAAGCCAGACAATTTGAAAGCTAATAGTTGCCTTAGAGCTGGCTGTTCCTTCTAATTGCTTCATGACGTACTTTTTTGTTGATTGCGGTCGTGGAAGTCCTTTCTCTGTCAACAGATGGCACTGCGGAAACATTCGCTTAAGTTTATATAATTTATATTAGAAACAAAATTCCCAAACTTGATTCTTGTTTGTGATAAAATGGAAATACAGTTACTGGATAACAATAAATAGATTTATTATTTATTTTTGTTTGTTTTTTGGTACGTTGACGACGTAGAATTGTAGAAGTTGTTTTATCGCAAATAAAATTTATGCATAGTTGAAAACGTATTGTTTATATCAGAGTAAAGGAACCCCTTTAAAACAATACAAAAACGAAATACAATAAAAACAAAGGAACGCTACCTTAAAAGAAAAATATACAGAATTTGTTTCTTGATTGTTTTCTCTTTTAGCATTGTTTAAGTTTCCATTGCAATTTCCTTATTTTGCTGCGTGAGATTTTTGGTGCTTTTGTTCATGTTTTATTAATCTCTTTCAGTTACTTTTTCTTTTTTAATAACAAAAATACACCAAAAATATAATATTTCTGTATCATTCTTGAACAGGTCTACATATATGTAGTTATCATAGTAATTGCTTGATTTTGTTTAACCAAACTTTATCATAACCCTAATTTGTTCTGTTAATTATTATACTTTAAAATACTTAATTCAATATACATGTTAACTTAAATAAAAAAAAGGAATAAAGTTTAAAACATTCTACACTTTTATCCTTAAATTATGCTTGGTTCTTTAGCTAAAAATAATAAGAACAAACGACAAACGTTGTTACGACATCTTGAAAAAATTAATGAGACTCCTGTAGACATTTACTTTTGTACGAGTTTTAATGGCCACGGAGTTTTTATTTAAATTAGCGGCCCCTAGATTAAGCGCCACTGCGCAACTCCTGCGGCCCTCACTTGCGACATTGATTCAAACATTAAAGTTTATATTTAATCGTAAACATTATTAAAATATATTATTTTCATTTATAATCTTACGGTTTCAGTGATTTTTTTAAATAGGCATTTTATATTTACTTTCGCGATATTTTATCGCCATTATCTGTAAATTTCACATAGCGAAACATGAGGTAGCCAATTACGAATGTTTTACTGTTTAATATATGTTTTATAATTGTTTGACTTTGAATGTAAATAATACGAGTAATTGGGTATATACAAGTTTGCAAACTTGTGTCTGCGTCTCGTATGTTGAACGACGATAAGAAAACGGAGGGTGAATTCGTGAGTTCTTGTTTAAGTTTGCAACTGGAATATGTGACTTATAGGGTAGTATATACATATATATACGAGATAACCACTACAAGAAACTTATTTAGTTATAAGAAATTTGTTCACAAAAAAAAACAGTTACCTCTACCTATAACATACATATAGGGGAAAATAGTAATCAAATGCATTTACTAATCAATTATGACATTTAATTTACAATAAATTCACCACCTCAAAGGTCGGCAACGCATCTGCTGTTCCTCTGGTATTGCTGATGTCCATGGGCGTCGTTGAACACCTCGGTGTTCCCGCTGCGAGTTTGCCCCCTTCCGTTATTAAAAAAAAAATCCATATACAGATTGCAAAAATTGTATTACATAATGTGTTAAATTGCAAATTGTATTTCCACTTATTCATTGCATTCTTTCGTATTACTTCATAAACTGACAATGGTCGTAGAAATCGTACAAATTATTATATGAGATGGTTAGGGAAGCCGGCGTGCATCAGCGTCCCCTCGCGCCCATTGCCACCCTAATCTGATGGAGCTTCCAACGTTTTAATCATACCCATATTACAGTGTGCACGCTACATATTTATTTTTGAGATATTATTACGTTTGGTTTCGTAACAAATACGAAATAAATTTCTTAGAAAGAAATAGTGATGTTCCCTGAATTAGCTCTAGATGGAAAGTAAGCGTTAATCATTAAAATATTCTTAGAAAATCTCTGAAGTCTAACAAAACGAATTTGTTATTATTATACGAATGTGGAAATTATGTAATATAGCATTATATTAAGTTTATAGTAAACTAGCTGGCGCCTGCGGCAAATTTCATCAAGATTCGTTCAGCCGTTTTTCCATTCAAAATGTTTGTTAGAAGGTATCCATCCAACAGAAATTAGTCTAATAATTACGAATGTATAACGCTAATTATGTTTCGCTTATATTTTTATTTTAAAATTAATTTCATAAAATTAAGCACAACTAAAATTTGCTTTCCATATTATTTGAAAATTACGTGAAGAATAACAGTTTTCGATATGTTCTATGTAAGTTGTACACCCTACTTATACACTAACAAGTTCCCTGGGCGGTGGCGGAGCAGTGCGCTACAATAGACTTTCACTCCGGACAGAGAACGTTTCGGCCCGGCTTCCCAGTCTCCCCTTCTTACGTTTACTTTGAAATATCCATCTCATTCGATGTGAAAGTTTATCTTTCAAGACATTCGACAAGTTTTGATCGATAATCCGATATTGAACATGATCATTTAAATCAGACGAGCATTATCCCCAAATTCCTGATATAGATATACGATTGTTATTACGCAGTAATTACAACTTAGTAATCATCCTTCATCTTTGCTTGCTTTATAATTGAAAAACAAAAAAGTTATTCTTGTAACTGAAAAGTAAAAATAAACAATAATATCAATGGATCATTAAGATACAAACAGAGTGGTTATCTTTGAACGGCATCCTGTACAAACTGAGGGATATGACTGAATTGTAAAAATCCATTGTTGAAACGCAACTCCAAGAGGAAAGCGTAATCGATCAAAAAGGATGGATTTCAAAAGCGCCGACTCCGCACAACCAATTGAAATGTTTGAAAAACATCGAGTTCATTTCAAATGGTTTTGCTTGTGCCACTTCTTCAATGGATACAGAAGCTTAATGAGAAAGCTTTTAAGTTGGCACAACATTAGAACGGCTTCTGTTCATGCTCTTTGTAAGCTTTCGCTAAGAGAGCCACAAACTATATTATTATGTAGCACCTGCATACGTGAGTACCATACAGATTTTTGTAGCTAAAGTTTAATAAGAAAAGTTGAAATACAAATACGTGTAGTTACATACATAAGAAGCTAATTTAACTTCTTATTATGTTTACTAAATAAATTATAACTTATATAAAATTGTAAATATCGCGATAGTAGATACTAGATAAGACGATAGACGTATAGTTTAGATAATCTGTTCAACATTGACTGAGATAACGACATACAAGTAAACACTCAAACTCACTTACACACATTAGTCGAAAATATAAAATATCGTAGCTTTTAACCACGTCTTTACATAGAATTAGTTTTTATAATATTATATTATATATTTTTTAATAATATAATGAATCTTATATCAATTTTAACACGTCTAACAAAGTTAGCGAATTCGACTATCATCGGTCGGTTTGGTTTGTGAAAGCTTCAAAAGCAAACAATTTTAACTTAGTATAAGTTAAAATATAGCACGTATACATATATAAGTGAGGCTGAGAGCCTGTCATGCTCGCTAATGAATCCCGCTCCAAAGTTCTCAGGAGACGAGGTGCGACAAATTCTTTGTGGCGCTAAGATCAAGAGTAAGTTTTAAAAGCCTTTCCCCCAGCGACTGCTGCCTCTCCACTGACTGAGACTTTCATCGAACTTCAAACAAGAACTCTTCTAATGACAATTAAGAAGTTTATCTAATGAGATTAACATTTAGATTTTTGGAAAGATGATATTAATTATTTAAGTTGCCTTGATAACAAAACCGAAGATAGTACGCAATTAGCACATATTAGTTTTCTTAATAGGAAAACGAGATGTGAAATATGAGAATGTTTTATTTACAACTTTTAAATAAAAGTTTTATTCTAATTTAACGTAAGTAATAATAAACAATAGTGACAGTGAATCGTCAGAACTTCAATATAAATTGTAAACGGGAGCTCGGCGCACAATGCTAACGGTGAACGTTGCAAATTCTTTTTGTATTTTTTTTAAATTCAATCAAGTCAGCAACGGCGACGACATTCTAATTGTGCCTTTACAATGTACTGTCTGCATCAGCAGAGATAAGTGGGCAATTCGAAAACAGAAAAATAAAGTTGCGTCCGATAGCGGTTCAGGGGCTCGCCGGTCGCGTGCGCGGGGATCGCACCCCTAGCCCCGCGCCCCGCACGACCCGCACACCCCTTCAGTCAACTTCAACCCCCGCCGCAGACTGTCGTCTCGCTCCACGGCCCCTCCAGTGCCAACACAAATGGTTGCCTACAGAATACTCGAAAAACAAGTGCTTCGAGTGCTTTTTCGAATGTAGCGTGTCTATGTGCAAGTGTCGCAAGTGATATTTCGGGAATAATTATTGTGAATGTATTTACAACTGGGATTTTTTTTAAAGTGGATTCATCGCGATGATTTACGGTGAGTTTACTTTTTTCCTATTGTTTTAGAGAACTCATTTCGTTAATTATATTGCGCTAATTTGAGAGAGCGCAAGGCGTGAAGTTGGTAATTATTTTTACCTCTATAACTCTAAATATATATTTTTAAAATATAGTTCTTTGAGAAGTATTTCAAGGGAAACGGTAGACGAAACCTTTTATTTTTAATCTTTGTTTTGAAGTAAATAAAATTAATTCGGAAAAGTTGTGTGTCACATAAATAAATAAATAAATTTGTGAATTATTAAAAGTATTTACTGTTCTCATATAAAATGTGGTTATTGCACCGATTATTTTAGCGTAAAGAATTTATAATTTGTGTTGACAGAGCAATTAATGTTACTATAAATTTATTTTTAACATGTTAATACATCTGTCATGATTGTTCCGAGTAGCTTAATTATGCTTTACAAGTGTCATGTTACAGCTTAAATACTACTCAGTAATAATTAATAGCTTGTAATGGACAATAATATATTGCTCACTGTGACAATACATTTACTTATTGTTAAATTATGTAACTCATGTTAACTTTTATAATCCCATTTCGGAATACTTTCAACCGTAATGAAACAATGTTGTGTTACTATCATTTGATCCTTTAAATTATTTCGGTTCAGCTTACATTTAACAAGATCTTATTGATTCAACAATAATAAGCTAAGCTCAACTTCGCATTCTTGATCGCAATACGACTTTTGCGTGTACTTTAATAATAAATAAATATTTTTTATTTTTACACCTAAACTTTAGGTTAGATTCAACTATCGACTAAAGATGTATATTTACGACAGTAGTTTTTGAGTCTGTCAATTTCAGAAAATGACTTTGATAAGATGACTTAGTTTAATAGCGAATCTTCTGCTATAGTGTCAAAGAGACCATTACAAATAATATTGGAATATCGCATACATACATTTAATATTTTGATTGTGGTCTACAAGAGGTTTCCTATTGTTTCTTTACATACGAGTATAACTTTGGGCTAAATTTTCGTGGCCTCATTTTGGTGTTTTTTATTCTTTATGTTTTGGAAAAAAGTTTTAATTTCTAGAAATCATTTTACAATTAAATTTTACGTTATAAATATCTTATGCGAGTTTTTGCAACTTTTCATTGTTATTATGCCCTTTTATCAGAAGTGCTAGGGGTGAAAGTGCATGATTACCAAACGCCCTCCTTTTCGCGCCAAGAGATTAAAATGCATCAATTTCAAGGGTCATTTGGTAAAGAGCTTATAGTCTAGTGGTGTCATAATAGTGGGACACAATTCTCGGGCTTTTTGTTCTAATGTTCCAGTTTGCAGCCACGTGCGGGTAGGGAGAAGGGGAGGGGACGCGTGTCCATTGCCTGCAAACAGCGGCCCCTTTGCAAAGGATTACGATTGGAGTGTAATTGAGTTGAATATTTTTCGCACGCCCTCTATCGCTTGGCTCCATCATGCAATCTGTTTGCTGATACGTTTTTTTTTGTTATCCGGCATCGTATTCCAACAGCCAGTATTCGAATCTTTTATGGAACGTATCGGGTTAGATCAGTCATGACCTTAATTTTAAGCTTCTGATCGTATGGTGATAAAAATGTTTAAAAGCATAATGTTTTAATTTCTGGGCAACTTGTAACGACTTGACTTAGCACTAAGAAGGATATTAGCGCGTAGTTTTTGTAAGATAGTTAAAGCATAATTAATTTGTTTCTCAAAAATCGTATTAAAAAGAAATCGAAGATTTTTATTTTACAAATAGATTTAAATTGCTCATATTTATATTTACTCGGTGCACTTCAATATCTTAGTCACACATTGGAATGGGATTTATGAATTGGACAGGCGCCATTTCGAATTATGATGTTTGGGCAGGCCGCGGCGAACGGCGGCGGCGGACTGACCCCGTATGCAAATAACACACAGAAGCGTACGTGCATATTGGTGGATGCTTAGTTGCACGTCCAAGCGTTTCCGGCAATATTTCGCATTGGTAAAAAAATGGTACTTTACGTCTTTAAATTTTTTAAGTAACTACTACTACTTTTTGAAATGTACTAGTGTGCCATAGAAAAAAAAACTTTGAACGTTAATATTTGAAGAAATTTAAATAAAGTCTTAGATTTGATGCCGAGAATTAACAGTTACTGAAAACGCAAAGTTATAAAACCTCGTAGTACTTCTTAGAATGTAAAACTTTTCAGCAGCCATTTTAAGCCAAAGTGAAATTTTATGTTTAATATTCAAAAAGCTACAATTTTTTTCAATTTTGTTCTGCCCTCCTTGTAAGACAATAAATTGATGTACAATATCTGTAAAATTCGTGTAAATATAAAACTTGTAAAACCTAATAACATATTTTCTGAATACATCATCATTGTATTAAGTATGATTTTGTGTTAAAAATGTTAATAGAGACAGAGAATAAAGCATGTGTAATTCATAACGTCGTTGTGAGAGAAGCACGAAAATGAAATAATTCACATGTCCCATTTGCACGCTTAGCGGAGAACGAGCCTGTTTAAAGCGCTGTTCGTTACCTGAAAAACGTGAAAAACAGCACTCTACAAAAATATTTACCGAAGCATTAAATTTAATATTCGACTAAAGCTTTATGAACTTCGTAGCCACCGTTCCTTTAATTAATTTCAACAAATACCTGGCACGTAATAAAATGTTTTAAGTTCCCTCGACCGTGTTTATAAAATCGTTGGTACAAAATAAATGTGTCATAAATCGCAGCTTCGTATCAGAAGAGGTAATTTTAACTTTATCCTTTATTTATTTGACAAAAAGTTCTGTTAAGCCATATTTATTGTACATGACGCGTCGCGTAGCACTATTCTACGCGAATCATTTAAAATTCGATGCGTAGCTAAAGTTTGATGTTTTATATTTTGGTTTACACAATCTTATCTTAGCTGCACTGATACATTTACTCGTATAGTCAGTAGTACAGTCATATATAAATTGTATAAAACAAAGTCACTTTTCTTCCGCAGTTTTAACCATCCTGTAGATTATTTATTTTGGATGCATTGTGTATATACTTCTTGTGTTATATGTGTTCTTCGATTCAAGTTTATAATATAAATAAACAGCGTATTTCTGAACTCCTAAAAAACGCCAGTACATATTATAAACTATTTAGTTTGAATGAATGAAAGTGAAACGGCCACACTCCCGTGTTAATCCTACTAGTTTGAAAAGTGGTCCCCGAAGGGCTTGACACCACTCATTGTCGTCATTACGTATTTAGTTTATAAGAATTATTAACAAAATTTAAAATAATTTTTATTTAAACATTATGTTTTTATCCCTTATTGTGAGCATATTGTGTTGTGTAAAACGACGTACTGTCACAAAAACACTCATATGATTGCAATCAAAAACATACCTTATTGTACGTCGTTACTTGACCATTATTTCTGGTGATGTTAAATTGATATAATCTGTATCACAAACACTTTATAAATATTCTGAGGCATCCCTATTAAAATTGTACGTAAAGGCAAATTATTCATCACTTTGACGTTGGGATAATGAAGGAAGCAAAATGCTTCATCCTCATTTGCGGGACATCGACAACAAAAGAACGTCCCGCCGTGTACCTCGATGTCCCCCCTGTTTGAAATAGGGTAAAGGATATTTTTTACTTCATAATTGTGTAATACTTACGAAGATTTTATGAAATTGCTTTAAAGAAATGAGCAGTTTACGAATACTTGGTCATGATAACACAAATCAGTAAAACACAAATATCAGTAATGAAACAAATGAACTACTGTACTGTTTTTTAGACAACAACATAATAAAGTTCAAATAATACCCATGAAAGACAAGGTATACATTGTATCCAAACAGTAAGTCCATACAAGAGTAGGCTCAGAACGAAATCAGCAGAGCTATTTATCCAAGCAGAGACGAAGCGAGCGAATTTGAGGCTGAGATACATCTCGTGCACATAAATAGCGCTCCAGCATTTATAAACATTATTACTATACAGCACTGTCTATATTGATTTACACTTAATATTACACAAGCTATCAAAGAATTGCAACCTTATAATATAGTCATATGACATAGTGTTAGTAAATGCCTAACGGGATATAATCGTAGTTATATGTGATTGACATAAATATGTTCAAGTATGTTATTACGTATCCTGCTTACTGTTATCATAGGCTCAAATAAAATTCAACTTATTTTGAACTTACCGTTATATAAATAGGCCTTCTAACCATCCTTGAACACCATAAAGTTTTATGCTACTTATAAATAAAAGTTCAATGCAACGTTGCAAACTAATTGAATAAACAATGGACTTTTCCCGTAATTATATTGATTCAACGTCCAAATAAAATACTGCGAGGAGAACTATTTGTTAAAACTTGCTGAAAGCGAACGGAAAGAAATATCCTTTTAAACTTAATAGAAACAGTACGACGGGGGAAATGGCAGAAAAAAAAAACAAAGTTTGTATCTTGCGCTGAATAAAATCGCACAAATAAGGTTTGCGGACCGTCGGATTAGCAAGTAAAATCACAATAACGAAGTCTGCAGTCAAACAGAAAGGAAATAAAGGGAAGACGCAGGCAGGATATTTGACGACAGAAATCTTTGCTTGTACACACACAGTTGAGTGTGCACGTGCCTTTATTCAAGGAAAATATTTCAATTTCATAATATTTTGCTGTGCCTGAAAAGTGTATATCTTCTGAAGTTTAGAAATCAGTGCGGTGTCAGTTTCGAAGTTGTGTAAAAACATAGCTACGATTTACTGATAAAGTCTGGGATTTTAGATAAATCATGTGAATTGAACATGTTCTAAAAACTGTCCATCCTTGGGGTATACAAAACACATCGATCCTTTCTCCTCTCCATAGTAATAACATAAGTCTGTTACTTGTCTGCTTAATTCGACTTAAAAATAAATCGTAAATAAACTTTTATCCAAACCATATGTTTTTACAATATGGATATAATTTGTTTACGTTAGTTTCGTTAGCAGTTGGAATCATTAGAACGTAATAGGGGGAAATGGTTTGATTATTTTAACAATCGAGAGAAACAAAAGAACAATGTTTCCTTGTTATTAGTGTAGGGATTTTAAGTGACAATAGTCTAAGAGCTAAGACATACAATTTTAGTATTAATTTAGATCTATTCGTCCTTATCTATATCATGTGCTTTTAATGAAAAAACGTCACAAACTAGGTTAAGGTATTAAAATTCAAAAGACAAGTTCCTTCCGCAGGTAACTTTGAATGTTCAATGATGCTCCTTAGAAAGTTGGTAAAGTTTGAATTACCCATCGGGGTGTTTGCTGAAACGAAGACGAATTCGAGCCAATCCAGCGAGTTGGCTGCCTCGCCCCGGCTCGCTCGGCGGCTCCCCGACGGCTTTGACTTATCGACTCCTATTCGACGGAATGTTTCAAGGAAACTCGAATTTATTAAGCCTAATTCGTGACTCGAGATTCCCTAGCAATAAATTTTATTGGCAGTCGTTCTAGTTTTTTATGCACGGAAGAACTTTCATTATTTTAATAAATTTTTCGCTACCAAAAAACAGTATTCCGCTTTTGTTAAGATTAATTGTAATCAATTAATTTTGATTTTTCTTTCGACTGATGTGACATGAAACAAAATGTGAAAGAATGTTTGTGTTACATCTCCATTATCCTTGTATTGAAAATAACTAGTTCGCGATTTTACGGCTCAGATGTACATAATGTTCATCTTGGCATCATTCCAATACATGTAAAATCATAAAAAGGAGAAAATTGTGTAACGTACCCAAAGATATACAGTACAATTCGCTACGTATGCTTACCTAAGTAGAAGGTACTAATAAGTTGAATAAACATATTTATGAAATATGTTTTAGTGAATTATGCTTATTTTAGATATTGCTTTTGCAAATTTGGTATACAATTTTAATGTATATTAATTAAGCTAATACGTTATTCTGTGGTATTCTATTGTTTTTAATTCTGCGAATTAATATAATACGAGCGCTAAATTTAATGCACAACCAAAATTGGAAGCCACAACGATGGTTCTTTAGAGTAACAATACTAATCAAAAGGATATGTGATACGTGTGGCATCACTCTGTTGTTCATGTGGCAATAGCCTTTAGAAAGTGAAATATTACTAATTTATCTTTACCTTAAATTAGTTAAATTAAGCCTCAATTTAATAATTTAATTTATTATTAATTTTACAGCACCCCCAAAGGTAATCTACCATCTTAAAAATGTTATAAATGCAAATGTTATATTTGGATCGTTGGATTTTTATTAGAAGGTATCTTCGAAACAGCTTCATAGATCTCGCTGAAATTTGGCATAGTACATATAAAAAGCCTGAAAGGACACATAGGTTATTAATTAAGTTTTATTTTAAATTACGCGCGGACGGGGTCGCTGGCGCCAGCTAGTGATTTACATAAAGAAATAAGTCACAACTGAATGAAAACGACTCGTAAACGAATAATCCGTTTCGGTGCGATGGCATTCACACATCCAATCATTCAGCTGAGACTCAAAGCGGACAAACGGGATTTTAAATTAACTGCCCATTTTCACCAGTGCAATATTTCGTAAGGCATCTGGGTCGGACCATTTTATTTATAATTAAAAAGGTCGATGGTCATTCCATTCGTTCTGGTAATCGAGTGCCGTTTTATTATCCTGGATTAACAGGTTACGTGTGAAGACTAATCGATGAGCGTCGCGCTGCGTGAACGACAAATAGCTTGAATGTTTTTTGGGACGTGACAAAATAAAGCCATAAAATAAAATAAAAAGTAAAATACACTTTACTGACTCTACTAATTAGTAATATTACTAATATTATACATGCCAATGTAAGGATGAATGGATGGATGTTTGTTAGAAAGTATCTCCAGAACGGCTGCATGTCGCTGATTTGGCATAGGCTGCTAATTATGTGTTTTTCCGCATGAAGGGGCGCAGGCGACCGCTAGTAATTTAATACATGAATTCCATACATTTCTAATCATATAATATTTTCTATATTACAATAGTTATTTCTTTCTTAGTATCATAGCTTATAACTTACTTCAATGCTCCGCTAACTAAGTGCAGTATTCAAACATGGTTTAAAGAACCCTAAGTTTCTAAAAATAATGTTATTTTTTTTCCTCAATATTAATTTTTGAGTTTAAAAATAGAACTTTTATATATAAAAGCATATAATTGAAAAATATGATAGAATATAAGTCTCATTATGATAGTCGGGAAGCTTGGCGGGTGACGGCGCTGGCAGCCGCGAGCGTTTGATTAAAATTAATCTTGGCCCCGCTTGCTTCCTTGTGATACATTTCCTTCACTGCAGGGCATTTAGCAAATATATAAAAAATGATAATTTAAAACTCATCTTACTTTAAATTAAAAATTCAATAAGTACAGTCGTAAGTCAGTGTTCTCTCCTATTGATGTTTTAATATAATTTTCATATGTCAAAAAGTATTATAATATAAGATCTTAAGCCGTAAAAACAATTACCATAGGTGTCCACTACTTGTCAGAAAATTCTATATGTCGCAGATGATACAACAAAATGTACGTAAACTTGCCCTGTGCCAGCATAGTTGACCAAGGTCTAGTCACCCCAAATTTAGGGTAGACTCCCAGCCCCATATGGGGAAGTATAGTGAGCTGATGATGATCTAAATTATTTTTTAAAGTATATTTGTAATTTCATAAAAAAAAATGTGATTTATTGTGAATTTCCATAAAAAGGTTTCACATATTGCTTTTCATTAGCGACCCTCATGTGCGGTGTCGGTGACCCAAAAAGTAACAAAACACAACAAATAAGGCAAGGTAATGTGAAACAGCCGAACCGCTCTGCTTCGGCTCTCATAAATAATGCATTGCGGTATACATTATTTAAGCTTTCGCTGAAAGAAGCAATGCTAAGGAATTTACAAAGAATATTGAAGACCTATATCAACTCACATATTGTTTCATTACGTGAACGTTTTTATATACAGTCATTCAAGACCTTATGTCTGCATTTTTTTTTATATTACTTGTAACATCTCCGTATCTCCTATGTGTTTTAAGCAGGAGTATTAAGACAAGTTTATTAATTAAGACTTGGTATATTGTAATATATTCAATATTGTGTAATTACTTGAATTCATAATTTTAAAACTAAATTCAGTTTGTTGACCCCATTACATATCCTTTTAAAACATCGAATTTTTTTAACCGCCATGTTTGTTTTGTTACAGATAATGCTTGCCGTTTTCATTAAGACACATACGCCTTGATGCAAGATGAAGATCAAACGGTCCGTAGACGTGAGGCTGCTAGCTCTGTGCACGACGTGTATCCTTCTGCCAGCAATAGCGTGTCCGTCGCAATGCGTCTGCAAATGGAAGAATGGCAAAAGATACGTTGAGTGTACGGAGAAAGACTTAAAATCAATACCCTACTCGTTAGATTCAGAAACGCAAGTCTTGGATTTCACAGGAAACGATCTGCAAATTTTGCAAAAGGAAACATTTCACAAACTTGGATTGCTAGACTTGCAAAAAATTTATTTACAAAGATGTCGCTTGCAAAAGATCGACAGTCATGCGTTCAAAGGACTCGCTAACTTAGTCGAATTAGATTTGTCTAATAACTATCTCACAGTGATACCTTCACCTAATTTCATTTATTTTCCAACTCTAATGAGACTGTCTATGAACAATAATCCTATAACTGTTATAAGAACGCATTGTTTCCAGCATTTGTCCTATTTGAATACTTTAGAAATGATAGGTTGCAAAATTGAAACCGTAGAAATAGAAGCGTTTTCAGGACTGAAACATTTAGAATGGTTAAGGTTAAACGGTAACAGGCTATCGAATATTCAAGGTGAAAACATCTTTCCAGATACATTACGAGGTATTGACTTGTACAATAATAATTGGAACTGCGACTGTCATATAAGAGACTTGCACAAATGGTTGTTAAATTTTAACATGCCTCACGTTATAGAACCGACTTGTTCACTACCAGAGCGCTTAAAAAATCGTACTATTACAAGTATCGCCAGATTTGATTTGGCGTGTTTACCAAAATTGACACCTTCATCAATATATATTGAAACTATGTCTGGCAACAATGTCACACTCGAATGTGTCGTTAGAGCTGTGCCCGAAGCTAAAATCCATTGGCTGTATCAAGGTCAAATAATACGTAACTATTCTACTTACTCAACGGATCCACATCATGTATTTTACGTGGAGACTGGGAACGAGGACAAGAAAAGTGAATTATTCATATATAACATAGGTAGTGATGATAATGGAACATATTCTTGTATTGCAGAAAACTCAGCCGGACGAACTAGAGCAAACTATACCTTGAAAATACTTGTTAAAGAAGAGCCTGTTGTTATTGTGGTAACATTTCCACATAGACATTTGGTAGTTATTATCACGGTGGTATTTGTAATTATAGTGTTATTGATAGCGATTATAGCAGTGGTACTTTTAAAATTCAAGACAGACACAAGAAGCAGGAAGAAGAAAGAGAGTGGTAAAGACGTGGCATTATGCAATCAAATGTTACCTTCCAGCAGAAACAATGGATCTCTACCCAAGAATAACGGAAGTTTAATTGTAAATGCTCATTCCCATCACGCTTTACATTACACTGTGCAGTCAAACCGTGATTATGAATCTAGCGATACGTATCAAAGCAATAACATGAAAGGCTTTGCCGACAGAAATCCTGACCTAATTAGTGATGCAGAAACCGTCGCTAACAACACGCAAAATGAGAACGCTGCAATGTCTGTTTATAAAACACAAACAACGAATGATGCTTTTGAAGAGGAAACTGCGTTTACAACTACTGCGCCGCCCCGACAAGTGACTTGGCAAGATCAACAAAACATAAACGGCATGAATATGCCCCAAAATGCTTTATATCAACACTCCGCTGACGTTCATTTAAATCCAGGATGCTTTTTAGACAGCGAAGGCTATCCTTACGATTACGGTCTTCCTAAACACCCTTGTCGTACTCCAATTATGTCAAATTATTCTGTAATCGGACCCTTTTATCAGACATTGCCACACAATAGACCTAAGGGTCAAAAGCTGGCATGCAAATTTGCAAAGGATAATGAATTCAACACCAATGCTCCAGCTTGTGCTAATTTCGAAGTATTTAACGCAAACAATGTGAGACGAACTCTCGATGGTTATCCGGTACCGAGGAATCGACAAATAGCATTTGTAGGAAACGGTACAGTGTATTATAACGAGGAATTTGTTCCATCGCCCCCTGAGGGATACAAAACTGAACCTATACCATGTTGTAATCAAGAACCATGCACTTCTTGGGTAAGTCCGAAAGGCACATGTGCTGTCATGGTTCCGATGGGCGTGGCCGAAGCTCCGGGTAGATGCTACCAGGTGGAGACGCGATGTGTAGATACGCAGACTTCTGACGCTAGAATTCCAGTGGACAGTAGTGAAAGTGTTCTTAAGCCCATACCACAGGTATCTAATGCTAAATGTGCATCTGATATCTGTTCAGAGAGTCCCGATGAAGGTTACGTAGGAGACGCTAACGATATCTGACGACGTCGTCAAGATAATCTATAAAACGGAAATTTAGACATTAATAGAGTGATAAAGCGACTGAGTAAAAATATAGAATAGAGTAATATTAGGTTTAAAGGGAAATCAAAAGTTGATATCTCGATGTACAGTGCACAATATTTTTGTAATAGTGAGCTGGTTAATTTTTTATAAATAATTGTTTGATCTTTAATTATAATAATACAATACTCCCAAGTTGCTTAAAAGTATTATTTGTGTTCACTAAATTTAACAATATTGGTTAAGATGTTTGGTTGTGGTACGTTTAAGTCAGTTTCTATTTTAACAATATGAAAATGATAATGGCAATGAGTGGGCAAAGAACGAGGGTTAAAATATTGGTGATAAAATAAATAGCTTTTGTGTCTAAGACAGGAATATCTGGCCTAGAAATTTAAATTCAGGCCTAGATGGCATTGTAATTTGTTACATTGTAACTTTGAGTTTACACTGACGAAACAATTTCATGGACACATTATTCTTTGTGTTCATTTCATAATTCTGTTTGGCAACTCAAAGCTAATTAAAATTCTTTTTTGCTGAATTTTCAAAAGTAGAAGTAATAATATAAGGGAATGATAATAATATTGAAATCAAGTCAGATGAGAACATATTGTTTAATATTAATAAAAAATATTCAAATATTCTGTGTTACGTCTTACTGGTTTCCTATACATTTGATAACGTGCCAACTATAGAAGTAGTTTTCCATTAAATTATAACTAAAAGTGTAAAACTTTTATTTGGATAGCACAAATAAATTTAATTAGTATTAATAAAAAATTGGAACGTACTTTTTAATATTTCTAAATTGTAAGATATAGTTCTATGACACCAATTGATTAGAAATTAATTTATATCTAGGTCAGACTTGCTCATTAACTCACTCAGTATTAAAACCGTTGGCTCATTAAATTAATATTTTAAGTATTTGAATTATTGTTTGTTGTCTGGACATACATTATATGCAGTAGAACCTGGATCTGGGTTAGTCCAACGGACCGCGTTTTCCGCGAACCGGGTTTGCCCGTATCCAGATTCGACTGTATTTATTCCTAAGCTTTTTCGCGTACTTTAGGTCAAAATATCATTTAGAGAATAATTTTCACTGGTAAAATTGATGTTATCTGCCTAGTTTTTATATGTAATCAAGTCATATAATTTTTGCTTTCATCAGTAGTCAATTCGATTCTTGTTTACTTTCATTCAACTTATGTTTTTATTAGTGTTTCGATGTCGTTGTAGAAATTAATCTAGTTGAAATATAAAATGTTATTTTTTTACAATTCCTATTTATTAAAACACTGTCATATTATAAACTATCGTTTTAATTCCATTCTTCGTTCATCCTGCTTATTTTGGTAAGTTGTACTCGTAAATATATTTTTACATAATATAGTATGTTGTGTATAAATTGTGTACATTATGTGTAAATATTAGATACATTTCCGGAAGGAATCGATTAGCGAATATTTTTAATTTTAATCGATATCAGGGTATCTCCCTATATACTCTTATGTATTGAGTGTTTATATAACATTTATTTCATGACATAACAACGTAATATATAATTTTATTGAAAGTATAAATTCGTTTATGTATTTAAGTTTTTTAGCAAATGAAATACGAACAAATATTGTTAGAACTTTTTAGACGTATTTATTTAAGTGTAATATTTCGGTGATTGAACATGGTATTTCCACACGCTTCAACAATTCGAGACATATATTTCAACTCGTTTTTTGGAAAGAAAAGTTAACATTTGGCACACGAAGCGACGTCAGCGCCACTCGAGCGAACATACGAGTACTTAAGGTTATTTGTCATTTGTTTGTTTAAGTTATTTCAACGGTGAAAGTTTTGTCTGAAATAAATGTTAAGGAAACGCGGTCACAGGGAAACATTGCATAATATTATGACACATCTTTTATAAGCGAATGTAATGATTTTATTCTTTTTCATAATACGGACGTAGCAATAATGTTTATTTATAATGTGATCGACTTCACGTAGAATTCCTATGGTTCCTGGACACTAGAAATAGGAGGTGAGTCATTGTTGTAGTATGGTGGGGGATACTTACAACTAATATTTATCATACCATGTCAATATCGCATTACATACACGGAAAATATTGGCGGAAAAAGAAAGATCGTGTTTGTTAAAACGATCCTTGTGTTTTAGTAAATTGTATAAAGAGTTGCAATTTTTTAAAAGGTTAAAAATATATTACCGTTGGTTTTTGAGGCTTAAATGTCTATTTAAAACATAACGTTATCTCTGTCAAATACAATGACAGGGATGACGATATGTTTTATATACAGACTTCGTCTCTAAAATCAGTGGTCAGTAGTAAAAACCGTTGTGACGTCACACGATACTACACCAATGGAATACAATTCGAACGATGTTCGATTGTTTCATTGTACAAAACAAAATTAAGTTTACAGTCAACAACTTGAAATAACAACGATATGAGCAGATTGTTCGCCTGATCGCATTTGATACAACGTAATGTAATACCAGTGATTCTGAATTACAATATCGTGCACAAATCCATTGTTACGTTAGTAAACAAAGATTACTGTTATTTGAGAACAATCTTAATGAGTGTTTCGACTACGGTGTAACATGTGTCCATACATGTTTTATCAAAGACAATAACCTCACCCTAACTACGAGTAATATTTTCCGAAATTCACAAGAGTGTAAATTTAAATTTGTTTTGTATTTGTATGTAAAAAAATTGAGTTTAAATTTTGTATTCAACAGACTGGGATAGATTTTCTGAAAATTAATAGCACAATGATATCACGATGTAAACCTCTAGTGAAGACAATTGTAGAAGTGCATGAATTTGAAATAAAAATGTATTTTTATGATTGTCTTTTATTTTATTTTACCTTAATTATAATTATTAAAAAGCATACGATGATTTGACGGGGAAGGTGATGAGGGACAAAATACCGAACCCCTCTATCCATAAAATTTGGGAAGCAAATATGCAACTCACTGGCTAGTTACAAATTCGTTTGTCACCATACATCTTGTGAAAGGCTTGCTCGTTCTACCTTCATGTAAAAATTATTACTGTAACAAAATTTCTACTTTAAATTTTATATAGATGTAAATTATATTCAATTCTGTAGGTGTGAGATGTAAATATCACTTTACATAATTAAGATTTGCCGCTATTCCTAATGTTTGGATTTAATTAATTAAATCCGATCAAGAGATACTAAGCGATAGGTTCTACTATCAAAACTGTTATGTTCAGTTCAATGATTATTCGCGATGTGATCAGCTCTTATTATATATTTTCGTGATATAATCAATTACTTAATTAATAATATTTAATAAATTTGTCTTGTTTTGTAAATATTTTCTTAAAATAAAATATAAGCTATTATTTGGTAAGTTCTATCTGGAATATTGAAGTATTACTAGGAATGATTCATTCATTTCTATAAGTAGGAGTTTTTCTTGAAGACATTTCCCCTTCGACTAGCTGGCGAGGGCTTTGCTTAGCAACGCCCTTCTGCCCAAATAGAGTTACATTACGAATGACACGTTATTTATTTTACTTTCCAAGATATTCTTAAAGACGGTAAGTCTTTCTGTTAAAGCGTAATTGTTCTTTTGTTTTCCATTCAGGAATACAATTGTTTCTTAAATGTTGCTTTCTGTATACTTTACTATATAAATAATAATATATAACAAACATTTATAACTATCAATTGATATCGGTTAATGCTATTTCACGTAGCATAAGTATTTTTTCCTAAAAATCCAAAGACCTCTAAGATAAAAACATAAAGTACAAGATAGAAAATATTTGTCTATTTTTTCTTTTGCAGATATATGCGTTCCGTAAAGATATAACTTCAAGTTTTTCTTAACTTTATTTCTCGTATCTGGGATATGTTGTATTCAGAGTGAGCCACTCCGCTACAATGCGCCAGTTATTTTGGCACGGAAACAGTATCGAACGCTAATGTATCCATTGTTCTTTACAGACGCCGACGGCTTGGGAACTGAGAAGCATCTTATTTGTTCATACCAGAATATATTTCTATGTTTTCTGAAAGTTTATATAGAGTGTTAAGTGGCGCTGCCAAAATACATTTCTCTATAGTTGATAAGAATTGTTTTTGCTTCCCTTTTCATAATTTCTAATAGAAAATGTATTACTGTATTCAAATACTAGCTGTCGCCCGAATTAAAAAAAATATTTAGTATGCGTTCTTCCAGACTATGTTCTACATCTATGCTTTTCAGCAAGATCCATACAACCGTTCTGGAGATGTCTTCTAACAAACATTCATCCATCCATACATTCAAACGTTCGTATTAATATTTGTAAGATAGTATTGCTAAGTATTGTTTCGCTTTTAAAGTAGTCGGAAGCTATAAGCGACACTAACGATGTCTTCCCTTACTTGAGAAGCCTTTGTAGTGACTGCTTAGACATTGTGACGTCACTCGAAGCACCTCCCTCCCCCCCCCCCGCAACTGAGACAACGCTAATGAAGCTAAGAAGTTTTTGTTTGATACACTTACAAGTTTTATTTATTTACAAAGATTTTTCCTTTGTTAGTTTTCCTTTAGTAAATATTATAGTAAAACCTTTTAATATAATATTTATTTCAGTAAAAAATTAATACCAGCCAGGAATTTGCAGTTTATAGTTATATATTGGAAACTGTGTATAGGTCGATATTAGTATAAATTCTACTGAATTCGAATATTTAAAAATACTGAAATAAAACAGAATTTCACCCCGAGCTTTTAAAACCGCACAAACAACGTACAGAGAAGGGTACGTTAAAAATATTTTCAGCCGAACCCCGGCGACAGTAGTCAGTCACGCATACCAGTTGCCAGTACTTAGCTGTTATGATGTTAACTTTTACACGGGTTTTGATTAAGGAAAACAAATGTATCCACACCCAAAATAACGAACTTTTTAATTAAGGTACCGATGTATTTTATTTTAACTATGAAAATAAAATAAAAAGTGTTTTCATTAACAGTCAAGCATGTGCTCGGACCCTAACCTTGTTTTCTAAAGGTCTCTTGCAACACTCACCTTGAAACTTACAATGGACTGGGAAACAGTTCTTACCAACTCTAACGAATATATTTTTACGGACTTTTTAATAGTAAAACGAAACTTCGGCTAAATATTAAAATAAAGAATACAAAAGAAAGATTTTGGACTTTTTTACTAAAATTCTAGTACTACTACTGTCGCCTGCGACTCCATCCGCGCGAGATTAAAAAAAACTAACTTAGTTATCTATGTGTTCATCCAGACTATGTTCTACATATATGTCAAGTTTCAGCAAAATCCATAAAGGCGTTCTCGAGATACCTTTAAACATCTATCCATCCATGCAACCAAACATTCGCATTTATAATATTAGTAAGATAAGATTGTTTAAATATTTGTTAAATAAGTTACAATAGAACACTTTTATAACAAAACAGTAGCAAAGAGTCAACCGGAGAGCCGGAACGCGAAGTTTTATTAATAAATTAACATTTAAAAGCAGTGCTGTGTTAATTAAACTCCGAATTTTGAACACGAACAACTTTTTATTGTTGAAATATGGTTCAAGTATTGTTATTTTCAATTAACTATGTAAATGGACGTTAAACGTATTACAATCTTAGTATTGTTTATTAAGATTATTTAAATGCTGTTTGTTTTACGATTTCCATATCTGCCTCGTGAATGAAAATATATTAAAACAGACCTTGTTAATATATAATAAATTATTGTTGTTTTGTAATAACTAATTGATAAAACTTACTTATCTTATATTCTGGCTTCAATTCTTAGTGCGTTTGTAATTAAATAATTTAAAAAATATGACGAATTTATTTTCGAACTTAATTTACAAAAAACTCATATTCAAAGAATTGAACATTATCGTTTTAGATATTTATGTAATTAAATTGTAGATAGGTTTTATTACTTTAAATATACAGAGTATGTAGGACGAGACAGGTAGAAAATTAATGAGGTGGAAGTGATAGGCAACTTACTAAACCCCTTGTAAGAAGTAAATCCGTCGCTAGAACATGCGCGGTGCCAACCCGATCTCTCATAATAACTAAGAAAATTATACTTTGTCTAACTTAATATTT